GGTTGAGTCTATAACCTGGGCATGTGCCCTGACAGGGAATCGAACCGTGACCTCCTGGTTCATAAGTCAATGCTCAACCACTGAGCCACACCAGCTGGGCAACACATCTTTGCTCTTGATGAGCCTTTCCAAGTCTCAGCCTTCTCTTGATTTCTTGAATGCAGTCTCTGAATGGATGGCTGAATAAAAGTAAGTAAAATCTTTAACAATTTCAGTGTCTTCATTGTCAATGTTAAAGTTGTGTATTTCTTCTGTAGTCATGATTTTTGTCTTCTTGATGTTCAAATGCAGTCCTGCTTTGACACTTTCTTCTTTCACTTCCATCGGAAATCGTTTCAAATCATTGCCACTTTCTGCCAGTAAGGTGGTATCATCTGCATATCTTAAGTTATTGATATTTCTTCCAGCAATTTTCACTCCTTCTTCCTCTGAGTCAAAGCTCAGTTTTTGTATATGTTCTGCATACAGATTAAGCAAATAGGGAGTCAGAATGCCCCCTGTGTGACACCTTTGCCTATAGGAAAGCATTCTGTCTCTCCATATTCTGTGTTGACAGTGGCTTCCCGTCCACCATACAGGTTATGTACCAGGACAATCAAGTGCTGAGGCACGCCCATTTCTTTCAGAGCAACCCATAGCTTTTCATGGTCCATGCAGTTAAAGGTTTTACTGTATCTATAAAACATAGACTAACCTTCTGAAATTCTCTGGAGCACTCCAGTATCCTGCGAATGCTCACAATTAAATACTGAGTGCCTCTTTTTCTGAATCCAGCTTGAACATCCAACATTTCTTGCTCCATATAACGCAGAGAGTTGCATCGCCATGAGCTTCACTTTACTTGCGTGGGAAATTAGAGCAATGGTTCTGTAGTGACTGCACTCCTGGACCATGGAACCCAGATATTTGATCAAACATTATTATTCTGGATGATTATGTAAAAAATTTTTTTGGATGAGGTTAACATTGAAATCAGGAGACTTCCAGTAAAGCAGATTACCTCTATAATGTGGGTAGGCCTTATCCAATCAGTTGACGGTCTTAATAGACTAAAGTCTGAACTCCCCTGAGCAAGAGGAATTCTGCCAGCAGACTACCTACCATTGCAATAAAATTACATTTCTAGGAAAATGTTCATATGCTTAAATATTGTGGAAATGTTAAATTGTTATAAATATTTCCATTTTTTGCTTTCAGTTTCCATATTTAGTTTGTCTGATTGGTAATAGTTTGTGGAATACACGGAATAGCACCCATCTCATATACATACATACATGCATACTAATTTTTATTCACATATATACTTATTTACTTTTTATTTTGAAATAGTTTTAAATTTACTAAAATGTTGCAAAATTGGTACAGAGCTTTCCCATCTATTCCCTCACCCAAGTTCCCCAATTTTTACATCTAAGTAACCATAGTACAATTTTAAAAATAAAGACATTAACATTAGTACAAAACTATTAATTAAACTACAAAGCTTATTCAAATTTCACCAGATATATTTTAAATAGTGAAGGCACAACTATAGGATGTGCAACTTTAATAGATACTGAGCCAGAACATTTTTGCAGAATAAATTACAGCCTTTGCTTTATTTTGTTTGCAGGTCAGCCAGTGGAGAACCAGAAAAGATGGACAGTGATTGTGGATTTTTCTGTAGAGTAATATGCAAACCACAAACCTCAGTTAAAAACATCTCACTCTTGGGGTGGTAAACACACAATACAATACATAGATGAGGTATGATAGAATTGTACACCGGAAATCTATATAATTTCATTAACAAATGTCACCCCAATAAATTCAATAAAAAAGAAAAACATCATGTGATCAAGCCAATACCACACCTCCTAAGCTTGTCTATCATTACTGCTAGAAATAAATTCTTTTGTATATAGAAAGATTAGCCACCTAGTGACAGAATGCATAGAAAGCGGATGTTTGATTAGGAATCTGAAATGTTATACTCCTGTGGCCAAGTTGCCATTTGTCATCTCTTCTACGTTTGAATGGGTGACCTTTCACAGAGAACGCGCTCTAATGGCTTTTTGGGCTCCTACTATAATGACTTTACAAATTTCTGTCATGGCACCTATAACACTAAATTGCTATAATTTGTGTGGGTGCTCTCTAAATTGTGAGCTACTCGTGGGCCCAACTCTGTCTTATTAACCCCGCTATCTCAGTGCCTGGCATTAATACCTTCAGCACAGCAGGCATGCAGCAATGGTCCAGGAAGGAATGAATCAATAAATTGAACACACAATAAAATAACATTGACATTTTCCCTCCTACTTGCTCTTGTTGAGAAAAGAGCCCGCACCTTGAAATTATCCCAGCGAAAAAGACAATGCTACATGTATATTAAAAAGGAAAAGCATGCAAGGGCTTTGTGTTTGAGAAACAGACAGGCTTTGAAGGCCAGGTGTGGCTTCAAAGCTGAATAAAGAATGCCACTTTCACAAATAGCACAAGTGTGTGGGTGCTGACTCGCTCTATTCAGTAGATTCATTGTACTCCTCAGGTAATTTTATCTGAGTAAAGTCTGCTTTCTGCTTAGACTTATTATTAGTTATCAATATTATTCAGCATTTCTACAGGACATGTTTTCAAAGTGTTATGTTCTTCATTCTTTTTTTTTTTCTTTCTGATGGAAGAAAGAGTTTGAGCTAAACTGATGACATATATGGGGAGCAAGACTCAAATGCTCCCCATGTTCCTCATTCTTTTTTTCCCTTCCCCCCTCATTCTTAATGATCTATGCAGATGATAGATAACGAAAGGGGCTGAATCTAGTCTTACACAGAGCTGGTACTCAATAAATTTTTGTTGACTGATTTATCACGGAACTCAGCTGGGGACAGGCCAGTGCACACTTGTGGGAAGAATACCTCCCCCACTTTTACCTGGAGGAGGTGTGGGGAGTGAGGGAGGAGAGTAGGTGGGGCAAGAGTAAAAGGTTGGAAAGGGAAGGAAGTGGGGATTCTCCTCAGATGGGAGTGGGGCACCTTTTGAGTCTCTGATCCACTTCAGCAATCCTCAGGGCACTCTGGGATTAGAGACTCGTCCTGTGTATTTGCCTTGTGAAGTAGTAAGTGCTTTGAGATTAGAGCTGCTGTTTCTTAGGAACAAACTCTTTGGGGACTGCTTTTATGAGACTGGTAATCCATTTTCAGCATTCTACTTATGCTTTTTATATCACCTGATTATAAAGCTGGGGAGAATAAGATACCAGGAGAAGTTAATGGGAATTCAGATCTTAGCCTTGGTCTCTGATGTGAAGTAAAAGCTGAATAATGAGATATTCTCATAGGTATTGCCATTACAGTAGGGTGACAAGTGACAAGGACTGTTGATCCTAAGGGTCCCTAGTGGCAAGGATAGACTGAATATACAGTTGAAAAATGGAGAGGGGAAGAGATTTACCTCCTATTTCTTGGAAACCTCACCTCCTCCTAGAAGCCCTGCTCAGTAGTTTGCTCTGGTTCTGTCAATTGAGAGATGAGAAGGGCTTTGACAGTGGGGGTTGGGTTGGGGTTGGTGGCTTTAAAAAGAATAATGTATCAGGTCCCTGGTAAGTACTCAGAAAATCCTGCCTCTTTTCTTTTCTTTTCTCTTCTCTTCTTTTCTTTTCTTTTCTTTTCTTTTCTTTTCTTTTCTTTTCTTTTCTTTTCTTTTCTTTTCTTTTCTTCTCTTTTCTTTTCTTTTCTTTTCTTTTCTTTTCTTTTCTTTTCTTTTCTCCTTCCTTCCTTCCTTCCTTCCTTCCTTCCTTCCTTTCTTCTTTCTTTCTTTCTTTCGCACATATTTGTGCACTTTGGCTTTATTGGGCAATGACCACAATTATTTGTCTGAAACACAAGTTGGAAAAGGGGAAAGTTGAGAAGGTAAAATGCAAAGCTTTTCCAGCAGTCGGTTGGCCAGGAGAAGTATGGAAATGCTCAGAAAAAAGTGCTGCTGTGAACTGAAACACCTCTCTCATTCTGGGCCTGGCAGGAAGGCCATGGGGGATGTAAAAGGACCAGCCTGGAGCTCTCAGCAAAGCACCAAAGCAGATTTCTCTAATCTTGAGCAGAAGCTCAGATCCATGTATCATAGAGTATTATGAGAATTAAATGATATAATGTTTGCAAAAGCAACCCACACAGAGCCTTCTCCATAAGCTTTTCTTGATATCTTATTTCCCCCAGCTTTATAATCAGGTGATAAAATACAAGAAAAAGGCCCTAAATGGAGCCACTTATGCTAGGCCTCATATCACCCAACCATACTTAATTCCAGGTGAGGATGCTGTTCAGGACTAAAGGGTTAGGTAATGAGAGAGGACCACCAGAGGAAGGGTGATCTCCCACCTGGAACCCTAAGATCCTGGAATTGGAGGAAACCCTTAATAATCACTTAGTTCAGTTTCTCAGGCAAAACAGAAATCCTTTCCATGTCTCTCCTGACAGATAATAATAGCTAATGTTTATTGTGCAGAGGTCAGTTATTGTCTTAAGACCATTTATATGGATTAACCCATTTAATCCTTCCCAATCACATGGGTAAGTACAGTTAACATCATGTACCTTTCAACTGTCTCAATCAAGAACTCAAAGAGAAATCTATGAACTCATCTCCGAGAGTCCTTCTGTCGCTCAGGTGGCGAGGCCTCAGTCACACATCTGTGTCCTCTCTTTTGCGTTGGAGCTGTATAGCAACCATCAGCCTGTTCTCTGTATTTATGAGTCTGTTTTGTTTGTTTATATTGTTTAGATTTCACATATAAGTGAAATAATATGGTACCTGTCTTTCTCTGACTGACTTATTTCACTTAGGATAATACCCTTTCGGCCCATTCATGCTGTTGCAAATGGGAAGACTTTATTCTTTTTATGGCCAAGCAATATTCCATTGTGTATATGTACCACATGCTTCTTTCCTTTCTCCTTCTCCTTCTCCTTCTCCTTCTCCTTCTCCTTCTCCTTCTCCTTCTCCTCCCCCTCCTCTTCCTCCTCTTCCTCTTTCTTCTTCTTCTTGCTGCAAAAGGCTTTATTGTTTCACTTGGTCCAATACATGGGAGATGGTTTCAGGGCAGTTAAAAGAATACTAGTAGTTTCAGGGAGAGGCTCAGGTACATGAAAGTTACATGGAGATGGAGACAGAGTGGAACTGCTCTCTGAGGTCATAGGAATAGTAAGTGGCACAGTCAAGATCTGAACCCAGGAAGTTTGGCAGAGCCAGAGCTTTTAACCCCTGTGCTATGCTACACCGCCTCTGCAGTTAGCCAGCGTCTAGGTGGACACTTCCAGGGACAGGCACTCACTCCCCTGTGAGCTGGACAGTTCGCCTAAAGTTGTCTTCTGTAACTTCAAGCCATTTTTCTTACTTCCAGCCTCTAAGCCTATACAGAATAGCCCGCTCCAACTTCCATAGACAGTCCTTCAAATATTTTCAAATACGAAGAGTACTTTTTCTCTAGTCATAAAAATAACACATGCTCATTGTAGAAAATTTGGAAAATTCAGAAAGGTATAAAGAAAATAAGAATCCTTGATAACCAAGGAGAAAATAAATATTAACGGCCAAGAATCTATTAGCTTTTCATTGCTGTTTTAAAAATCCATGACTCATTAACCACCCAAATAAAACCCATGGCCAACCAGATTTTGTCTTAATATAAATTCCCAGATGCAAAATTTTATATTCATCTTTTATAAACTCTATTTTGTTTGTTTGGGTTCTTTCGTCCCACTGAAACGTTTAAATGTAGATGCTGCTGTCTAACTGTTAGTCTTCCAGCTTTGTAGACTATGTGCTTTTGATAACAGGGCTTTCTAAAACTTTATTCTAGATACTGATAAAGTGCTGAGTAGGAGAGAGTCCTGTGATATGCTATGAGGGCTCTCCCTCCAGGATCACATGAATCTACTCATCTATCATTTTGTACAGAAAATATAAATCCATATAATTGCATTTGCAAATGCATCGTCAGAATCCGAGTAAGTTTCATCTATGGGATTTCTCAACTTTACTGGTATAGTAACTCTAAAAAAAAAAAAAAAAGGATACCATTTATCTTTTTTTAAAAATTTATTTAGTGAACCTAGGCTGACTCTGAGTGATCACTTCCTAGTTCCTAAGTGCTCACAAATCATCATCTACATACTCCATTCTAGAACTTTCCTGGAAATCACTGCATGCCCATCTGTTACTTCAGCCTTCTCATTGCAGTGGAAGTAGCTATGTGTAGACACACTGGCCCTGAATAATATTTCATGGGGCTGAAGGAATGATCCCGTGGGTATACATTGTGTTATTCTTTCTACTTCAGGGGATCCGCTTCCTGTCAACACACAGGAAACTGGAAAGCCGCCGTCTAATAATGTAGCCACTGACAGGAAGATTGTTGTTGAGAGTGCTCTTCTAGATTACTCGATTGAACAATGTTGGTGAAGAATGACTGCAGCTTCTTTTATTTATGACTTTGGATCAACTACAAGGCTGCCTGCCTTTACATAGCAGATGTGCGGCTCAGCGCTGCAGATGAATTCTTCTTTTGTTAAGTCCAGCCCTGCCTACAATGTACTACAACGGGGCTTTCTGTTTTAAGGCCATCTTGTGGCGAGATGTATTATAAAGCCAAGAATTCTTCAGGGATTTATCTGTTTGGATTTTTTAAATCAGCAGAGCTTAAAGCAAGGCAAAATTATACTGTGTATATTCTTTACTTTTTAGGTAAGTAGCTCAACATTATTTTCTGTGACTGTCACCCTGAGGACATAGAATTGGGACCAACTTGGGATTGCCAGGCAGCCTGCTGATAAATAAAACCAGCACCTCCACCCTC